TACTGACTAGCAAGTAATTTTCTATCGGTAGATTTTTCTTTTCTCGTCACTAACAAAATATTGTGAACACTTTTAACTGTTGTGGTACACTAGAGAATAGTCGTTAAAAGTTTTATAGCACGCCAAAACGACCTCTTTGCATTTATTCAGATTAATCACTGTTTCATTGGGTATTACAAAATTGTATTTATTATACTAGATTTATAACATTTTATGGTAGCGACACGCCGATGTAACGGCGTTTGAATGTACTAATTGGTAAAGTGTATCTTTGTGTAAAATCATCCATACTCGCCGTGTACACGAATATGATGGGTAATTAATGGGGTAGTGTTGTAGACTTGATTGTGATATCAATAAACATTTTCATACGAGCATCAAACTTGGTGTTTTATTTAACCCCGAGGCGGAGAACCCCATTCTTATAACTTTACCTTCAAGTGACAGCGCCGTTAACGAGCGCTTAGCAATTTGTCTAATGGAAACAATGGTGCACTATATTTTCCGCTGCATTGTTTTATAGAGAAAATGTTAATGAAAATAAAACCTAAGGAAGCTTTTCTCCTTACTAAAAACTTACTAGGTTAATTGAATATGAATGGAGTAAGTAGCGGTATATATCAATATTTCATAAAACTTTCTTTGGTAGGCTAGAAAGAAGTGCAGATATTATGCATTACATCCAGTTTTAAAAAATTGAATGTACCTATTATGAATGCATGATGAAATAATTTGATTTCGCAAACAATTGTGTGTGATTCCTGTTGAGTCAATGCAAGATTTTTAACTGAATCCAAGGAAATCAGTCTTGAGGTATTCCTTCCTTAAAAATATAAGTTTTTGTCCATATGATTAACATTTATAATTAGGTCCATTCCAGGCAAAACAAATAAAACACAGTTCATCCCTCAACAAGCAAATACTTGTCTCTCGTTGGATATAATTTTGAAGAAAGGACCCTCGGCCTATTTAACTAGCAGCTGTATCTAATTGCTTGACATACATCTGTGTACTTACATATTAAATCCCATCACTTGCCACTAATGGAATGGTCCGGTGTTGCTCAATGCGCAACGATACTTACACAAGTCAGGCCGGGGTCACTTTCGTGAGCATATTCGTTAACCCCTGGGTCACCGGTCATTCTCCCGCTTGATAATCAATCATTTGATCAACTTTCCTTATACAACCTATGTAACCTACCTATATGATGTGTGACCGTGACTTCTCCCGCACAGGGTGAGGCGAGAGGAAGTCACTCTTACGGACTAAAAACCCTCCGTCCTTTCTTCTGCCCTAGACCGCGGTGCCTCATTGCGCTTACCCCACAACCCCAGCTGAACATCAGCACTATAGAGCCTCGTCTGTGGTGGTCTATTTGGCTCTTTGAGGCGCGCGCGGAACGCTACGCGCAGTACGCTCGGGTCTGGTTCTGGTCGGGCGCCCTTACTCTGTACCTGTTTATTACTAACGCCAAAAGGATATGATTTAGTAATTTGAATAGCAAGGCCCATAATACCACTGCATATCCTACCCAGTTTAGGTTGTAGGTAAACCTATAATCCAACCTTTTTTGAGGGGCGAAATTATTAATTGTTTTCTTCCGCCTCAGATGGAGTGAGAAAGATAGTCTGACTTTTATTCAGAAAAATCCAGCCCGTTCCTTCTTGCGTGGTGCCGGGTCGCGGCACTTACATTATAGTTAGAGTACGCTGTCCCTAGTATAAGATTCCAAAATCAAGCAGGCAGCGACAGATTGTACTCGCAAACCTAACTACTAATTGCCGGGGTTGCGGGGTAAGCGCAATGAGTCACCGCGACCTCGGCCCAGAGCAGGAGAAGAAACAGGGGGGTTTTTAGGCAGTAAGAGTCTGACACTCCCTCTCGCCCGGCCCTGGGCGGGAGAAGTCATTTGATGATTTTCCCCTCACAAAAAAAACCTTACTACTAATTACCATCGTTTCTGTTTTTAAATTTGGTGTGAGATCCACTTCAACAAAGGTGATCCTACTTCGTCTGCCAATCAGCAAATTTGTCTTTATAGGGCTGAGTTTCAAAATGGGGTCCGTAATTTAGTTATTTTCTTTTATTACCTGAGCCCCCTAGTTTTTGAGATTTTAATCCTCATTACTCGATAGGTTACACAAGGAATGTGTTAACTGTGACTTAATCTCAATGTTGCGGCGAAAGGCCGACTTACCAGCAGCACCTACGGTAGGTACTGAGCACAGTTTTTTTGTCTTCGTGAGTTTTTTATATTATTGCTTACCATCTCAGGGAACAACTTACCCTAAGTTATTTATTTAATTTTTCGTTGTTCCTTTTGATACATAATTTACAATATTAGTAGTTAGAGATATTTAACGATTAGTTCGACAGGACATTCTCCAGTCAAGGATACGATGTAAGTTTTTTTTTATATTTGTATGTTGTCTGTCTGCCACAAAATTTATAACCAGGAATGGATAATAAAAGAAAGAAAAACACAAGTTATCGAGCGAAAGAAGCTTTTTTTCAACTAAATTTACATTACACATGTCTAAGAGTTCACATAGTATAAAAGTTATCAAATGTCTCTCCGTTTGATATATACATTAGTTTCCAGAAACTGCATCGTTGTGGTTAACATGTGCCATTGAGAACGATAAATAAATTTACATTAACATAGTTTGCGAGTTATTATTGCAGCTCCCTTATTTTTTTAACCTAAACATCACCAACATCGTTCGCTCACTTGGTGACACTAAAGTTGTAATATAATCTTGCAATTTATTATTAAAATAAATATATTTACCGCCACAACACATCAGCTCACAAACAAAACAACTAGACAAAGTGTGGAATATTTGGCACATAATTAAAATTTGCCTCTCAACTTTCCAATAAAATAATCGTAGTAATATATTATTACGTTAAATATTTGTAGTATCCCTATAATTTCCTTTTAACCTACGAATACGTTCCGCTGTTAATAAATACATACTAAAGTGCACTCTATTTACAGTGCAGCAAGAACGTAGCACATTTACAGAAACCAACTCCTTTCCTTCGAGCCATATACAATTGTATGTCTCTCTCGACGTTAATCAACTGATGTATTAAATTATCTCTCAATACAAACTCTCCAGGGATACAGAGGTTGTCGCATTCCAACTCAGGCACCGGGACTAACTCTATTAAAATAATTAAATATGAACGTAGTAAAATTATGTTTCGAGATCATATTTAATACATCACAGGTGTTAAAGAGAAAAAAAATATTAAAAATTATTTGACAAGTGTCCTCTAAATGTTTTGTTTACTTGTGCGATATGTAGGCACAAGTAACTGGCGCGAACTAGATAACGCAGCAGATTGCAAGGTGCACTTGTGTTGCATTAATTGGATAATTACAGAATCGCTGTGCAAACAAAAGTTGGTGACAATAATAATAAACGTAATGTTTACGCACGTATACTTTATTTATATTCAAGAAATATTGTAATAGTGATGTCTAGTCGTGGAAACATTAAGGGGACACTTAATTTTTATAATATTGCAGACAGTCGTGGCCCAGTGGGCACCAGCGCGTCCGAATCGAACAACATAATTATACCATATCTGATGTGGTCTCACAAACCGAGCCAGTCTTTGGCGAGCCACGTGTCAGAGACACCACACTGGACATAGGAAATGATGAATACACGTTGAAGCTAAATGCTACAACGATATTGCATTACTTCAAATACATTTGTAAGTAGTGTAAGCAAAAACTTGTCGGTTCTAGAGACCACACGCAAACACAAAAAAATAATTCATAAATTACGAACGTCAATTTTAAACAGGCAATAAACTACACAGGTAGTCTTCAATATACCTCTACAACAATATATAATTATTCATTATTTGTCTGTCAAGTCATAAAAGTTCATTTACTTAATTTCATTTGTGTTTCGTCGCTACAATTAACACCGGCTTTGGTTAGCTTTAAAAATGCTTACAACTGTCGTTGTATAGAAAAATATATTCATACACGATGTATGGTTTACAAGATACTTAACATTAATGTTAGAGTTATACATAGGATGAGTAATGATCATGATACATGGGTGTCTTTTTGCTACGACCGTGAGCCCTCGACCTAGACCTGATGAGAAAATTTGTACTTTCACAAAGGGCCACGGTTACATAAATCCAATTGACTGTTACAAACTGCGAACAAAATTTAGAATAGCAATATTTCGAAAGAAAAAACAATCATCAATATAATTATGTATATAAACCATTAAAATACAACAACAAAACAAAATATCCTAAATTTTGCAATACGAGTAGTTACTGTTGAACACAAATACTCAAAGCCAACTGTTGTACTACTTAATCTTTAAAATTGCAAAAGTGTTACTTTGACGGTAACAGTGTCTTTTATTTGTTGAGTATTTGTGTTGTGTTTATACTATTTGTGATGACTTTCGCAACTTCCTCGCAGCAGGCGATCGAAGATTAGAGAGTGATCTGAGGAGAATGTGTCAGGAATGCTCCGACGCGACGCTTGGCCATGAAAATTTGATTTCCACGGCTGCGCCTGAGCATTTATGAGACATTACTGTTGTGACTGCATAACCTTAGCATCCGACGTATAGTGTAAATATTCTTATAGTTAAACCGAAGCTATATCTAAAAATAACTTAATTCAAAGAGATCATAATTCATATAATATAATCATAACTTATTTAAAGTTGTCACGTAGTGTTCCAGTTTTGTGAATGAGCAGTAGTGGGGCCGGCAGTGACCGTTACTCCGCCACGTAAGTGCTACATTTCACTTTCTTGAAGACCATCATTACGGCGGTGTTTTAATTACAACCTTACATTGAGAGATTGTAATTAAAACAAAGTTCCACAATTTTGAAATTGTGTAGAAAGCATCTGTAATTACTAGGCACATTAACACATTATAAAAATATTATGTTAACAATGTGATTATGCATTTCATGTTATTTATTCAGACTTTCGAGTTGTGTTTCTGTCGAGGATTTTCTTTTTGCTTAGTGGAAATGGTCTGCTCGAAGTGAAATGTCCGCACAGGTAGGTGATTACGGATTATTGCATCGAACATTGAGCAAAACTTGGACTGTGATGTGAGTGACACATGTATGATATATTAATTGTTGAACTAAAGATATATCTTATAGTAACTTACTCATTACTTAACATTATTAGTAATTTGGAAACGGTATTACAATAAATTAATAAAACAAAAATATGCACAGAATGACAACAAGTCTGACAAAATTGAACAGTTCCATAGACGGTTCGGTAGGCGTGAGGTCAGTCAAGTTCGTGGTACCAGATGTACCCGCAGGGAGCCTGGGTGGTGTGCATCTGTTGTAGCTGCCGAAGCTGTTCGTTCAATTCTGTGTTGTCACCGGAGTGGGCAGGACCTAGCTGGTGCGCTTGAGGTGCGCGGGCGCAAGCCGTGCTACTTTCGGCGGGCGGATATGCGCGCCGTGCCCGCACTCGTGCTTATGCGCGTGCGCGGGGGATTTTTTGCCACTCGTCGATAACCGCTTGCGGGGCTTCAGGAAATCTGGAAATAAAGAAACAATCAAAATTAGACTTGAATTAATGTAGCGGGAAATAATGAGAAGGTCTTGAAGCATAAAAATGCACATTCGTTGCAGAATAATACCGTCCCAGACGGTGTCAAATTCGGCAATAAAATTCAATTCGAATTAATTTCGTTTGTGTTGTGTTCATACATCGGTTGTTGACTTAGAGTGAGGACTGCGTCGCGATAAACTGCAAGGTGAAAGCGGTTTACGACTCTTGTTAACATTTCTCTGAGAAGGGTGACGTACACAGCCGCTACGATGCATAAAATCAGTCGTAAAACATTATTACAGAGGGCGTGGCCGGCACCATTGTGAATTGGGAAACATTTTACGACTCTCAAACTGAAAGATTCGTTAAGATGCCCGTAGCTCCGGATGCAGCGCCTGCGTCCTGCGGGACCTCACAATATTTTACGACTTCATCCATGAGGATCGATTGTAAAAAAGTAGTTTTAGACTACTTAAAGCGACGAAATCTTTTTTTCTAAACAATCCTAAGGCGGCGACGTCCTTTGTGACCATTTCTAATTTTGAAAAAATATGGCCTTAATAACTATAAAATTTTACGATCTTTTTACTACTGTTTAATCTGCTTTATAATAGTTTGTCTGTGAGTTACTGGTACAAAGGTCCGTGAGGATCCTAGAGACGGTATAATCACACCCATAACTTTTACTGGAAACAGAGTTACGACTTATAAAAAAACTAAAGGGTTGTTGGAGCGTGAAGATTATGACAATGATAGGTTCTATGATGCAAATATAATTTGATCTTGATGATGATATTAACATAACATGAACAGTCGTTGCATTTCTACTAGTGCCATTTCTAAAAGTACTACATCAAATAAAATATCAGAATAAAATAAGTGCAGAGAAATAAATAAATAAAATGTTGCAATGAATAAGCAAACGGGTGCAAACAGTAGTCGATAACAATCGAACGCTATGATCATCTAAATTATCAGAGAGCACAAAAAATGGCGTCGCAACCGTAGCGTCGGTCCCAACTTCCCAAGGTTAAATAAAACTTGCTCCAACAAATTGAGTTTTATCTTCCTGATGCGGACGCTAGTTTGCTAGGGCTCAGTGGACTATACATACCATTAAGATTAAAATTATTATAGCTAAGTTCTGTTTAAGACTCAGAACACAAATAATAATACTTTCATTTTCGATGTAACTTTATAATATTTTAAGAAGTTTTTTTTTGTCTTAAAATACTCTTATCCATGTTAGCTAATAAAAAAGTAAGATTTATAAACTTTAGGTTAAATAATGTTCATTTTAAAGGTAAATAAAGTTATATGTAATAAATGATGCTAATGCTAAAGTAAATATTCTGGCGAATTTGTTTTATAATTAATTTGTTCAAGTGTGTCATATGTCATATTTGCTGAAATTGCCGTAGACTTTATTTATTTTTTTAATTAACTACAATGTCAAAGTTTATCATCGTTAAGTTCGTAGCAAACTGCAGACAGCTAATTTAAAATCTGTATTTTTCTAGAAACAAAAAAATTTTTATTGATTGTTTGATGCAAGAGAGTAATACGACAGGAATCTAAATAAATATAAAGTATGTTGATAATTCTATTCAAAGTGTAGTACTTAACACTGCGTTTTAATAAATTCAAGGTGAAATGTCAAGGTGAAACGTAGGCCAGCGGGCTTAGCAACACGACCGTAAGACGTTATTAAACGCTCAACGTAAAATCTCGTTTGTAATAATTTTGTCTGAATCATGGTAAAAAACAAGGCTCGGTGTGCAGGCGGGAACTATGTCAGTGACGTCATGAAGCCAAGGCCGACTGGTCGCCCGAAGCTTCCCGCCAAATTCAGTGACACGTGGATTTTATAGGTTATGTCCATCACAACAACATAACCTAAAAACATAATTTCAGTGGCTGTTTTCTTATCGGAACACTTAGAATTACAGTACGAGTGTTTTATAAGCACCTTTATTATTTTTATAAGACTGATAGTGATAACACGTGCAATCAGGTCGTCCAAATTCAAATAGCTGCGCGTCCCAAATTTAAAAGCAGATACCTGATTGTAAATTTATTTGTTATGAATAAAATGTATAGATACAATAAAATACGCTACACACGATGCAAACGCGAGAAAATACTTTCACGCGGTTACGCAATGGTTTCCCGCCAAACGTTCAATGGAGCGTTTCGCGCCATTCTGATCTCGATATAACCTGACTAATTCGCGATGTGATTTGCGTAGTATTACTGTATGTTTACTAGAGTGACCTATGTGTGCCGGCCGTGTATTATATTAGGCACGCGTAAACATGCGGGTGTATGCGTAAACAAAATGGCCTTGGGAGGCGTGCGCGTGCGCACAAGCTGGGCACAAACAACTCGTACGGTTATCACGAGCATTATCAAACCTTTATCGTATAGTATACTAGCTAACTGTAGTGTAGAGTTAATTTGTGATAATTCATTAAAATAATGCGTGTGTTTAACGCAATCCATGAAGTTATATTTTACCTTGAACTGATAAAGTTTCCTTACTTGATAATGTCTGTTGCGAATTTCTAGATTGTTAGTCGACTGTAAAGAGACGTTAGATAAAGTTAGAATTATGATTGTTATTATAATTAAATCGTCTTGGCTAACCGCGCTTGAGCTGTAGTTTTAACTGGCGTCCGAGTGCTGAAGTTATTTTCGTCGACCTAAATATCGGCGCAGGCGCACGAACTCTACCTCTTTTGATGCCCGCTGTAATTCACGTGTTTACCGCGCAAATACGAATACGAATCATAACAAGAAACCAGTATACATTAGTATACATGATTATTTTGACTCATTTCCAAGTAACCGCCGTCACTGATTGCCATTAAGTATTCAGCGTGTTAGTAGAACTAGCAATTTGCATATTTTCTAAGCCGTTAAAGGTAGCGTTCGCAATTTGAATTTATTTTAAATCTTGTATATACAGGTTACTGGTATTGATACAGTATGGTTACCAGGGAGATGTGTGTTTTCTCATATTGTAAGTGTGCCAAGATTGCTCGGGTTAGTAACAGGGCTTTAATGCATTCCACGTGCATCGAAGGCCGGGCTTGCATCCGTCAGACACCACTAGAATCTGAGATCGCATGGGAATAAAAACACAAGGACAACATTGGAAAGTGTGAAAAAATGAGATCCTTCCTGAGATACGTCAAATTAACTTTTTACCGCGACGCGACGCTACAGGAGCACGTCAGGGTTGGCGTTGCCCTTTGATCCTGCCGCATGCGCAGGAGTGCAGGAAGCACGACGCGCTCCGGGAATAAGTAATTGAGGTGTAACTGTGTGATACACTTTACAAAAAGTATTCACAATACACTCACTTTACCACAATTAAGTACCGAAATCTCCAAAAATTACATCTGGCGAAATATAAATTGCGTTATTACGTTTATTGTTGGAGGACGCGGCACAAAGGATTGTATTCTTGCTGCACAAATGTTGTCCAAATGTTACTGGCTCGTGGGAATGACGCAAGATCCGTGGTCACGATCCTGGCATCGAGTGATCGTTTCAGTCATTACAGTCAAGAGAAAGGGACCCAACAACGAACCTCCTTTTGTCCGCACACGCGTAATTACAGAGACGTGGGTTGTTCTCTCGACTTATTGCGGAGGATTGCAAACAATATTGTGAGCGTAAAACTACGTGATCCAGACACAACGATAGACAGACCGTGCCTACGCAGCGTGGCTACGACAGATAAAACTCTTTAAAATAGCATTTGAGTAATCCAGCAAAATAATTATAATTTTTTAGATTTCCGAGACTTTCGTTTACAAGTAAGGCGGAAACGGATAGGGATAAAGTAGACAGCTTCCCTTTATGGGAATACGATTCATCGACGAATCTATTGAATCAATTTCAGAGAAAACGTATCATGTCATTGTTTTCCTCTTGGTGACGTCGTATTGGAACAAGTCGGGACTTGATCGGACACGTTCGTGGTGTAATCGGTGTATGGTGCGCGCGCGCCGATTTGTCAGGCGTGGGCGGCGCGTCCCGCTCAGAACAGGTTGCCGCGCTAGCACGCTCCCGCCATCTTATTTTATTCATTTACGCCTTAGGGTTGTTGATTAATCTCCTTGTGTACAATCTTAGTCAATATTTTTACGTAGCGTGGATGATGAATATGTGGTAGCTAATATAATAGCTAAGGAGTTATTTTGCTTCTTTTCATTAGGTATTGGAACCAGTTAGCGAGTTCATAATGTTTATAATAAGCGAGTTGAATGTTTCATAAGTAATGTATCGCGTCCTATTAGGGTTGTTGAAATAAAACTGGAAGTGCTTTCGTTAGATTTTTCACAGCTGCACAGGAAATACTTTGTTACGCCATTGCTGTGTTGTTTGTTGGGAGCCAGCGAGTTTGCATTGTGATTACGAACCAGTTCCGAAATATCTAGGCCAAGTGAAAGGCGATTCGATGTCAAAATGACGTTCGTTGTTGAGAATGCAGCTCGTTTTTGTAATTATACAAATGAAAAATATTATGTTTCTATAATTCTATAAGTACTCTAAAGTTAGTTAAAAAACCGATTAATCGAGACCCAACTAGGAGCCATAAATATTGTGAAAAAGAAAAACAAATAACTCATCGAGTGTAAATAAAGTAACAGCACAACCCTAGTCGAAGTTCTATTACAACTGGACGTGGCATAAAAAAGGCAACAAAAACGAACCCTCTCGGCGTATATCTGTATATATATTTGTATACATTCGGCCGCTACTGGTTTTGAGTCGACGCCTAAACAAATATGTGACATTACCAGGTAGCATTGTATCCTACTCTTAACACTTGTTCCATATTATCTGATATAAACTTTATTATTGTGTGATTTCATTATAGTTTTTGTGCCATCCTTAACGGATTAAGTAGGTGATCTTGAAAAATCAACTGCAATTTGTTTCTTTCTCTCTTCTGTACCATTTGAAATGTCAAAA